ACAACACGAGCAACAAGGTGCGATACCATGCAATCAGCCAGGTCAGACATTGTAACCACCTAATCCTCAAAATAGGCTGTTTCGACTCCTAAGGGGTTCTCGGAACCGATTCTGCCACATGATCCTGAAGGTCGTTTTCCCTAGTAAGAGCATATAGTTTACATTAATAAATACATATTAAAAGTCCAGAGGTTGCTGAGACTCTTGTGGGGAGTGGGTATGGTTTTGGCGCCGCTTTTAGCTATATTCAAGCAATAACACCCGATATAGACCAGAATCGTACCAACGTCTTCGGCGTAACAAGCGAACGCTTTAACCACTAGGCTACTATCCTCCTTTTGAGGAACACATACTAAACAATACTAAGCAGCACAGTGATGAACACTTTGAGGAACACAATGAGGATAGACAGGAACATAAAGCAACACGTGTCTCCTCGACTACAGCACCCGTATAATGAACAACCCCACCCCTCGCATATCTCGGAGGAGCAGACGACAATAACCAGACCGTAAGCCAATTTCCTCACCCAATAATCTTCCCATTTCACAGTCCACCGGTCAAGTGTACATGGACATTACCCCAGCAGATTGAGCCATCATCTGACCCTCCTCTCCCCAACACATACGTGGCTGGACACTTCACACATCCGATCGATTCGGATTTCATTACAGGAGCACGATCTGAGTGACCGGGGAATTCCCCTGGACATGTAGATAAATGAACGGGGTAATTGGTGGGCCAAAGATGAGCTGGACATGTACATTTGTGGGCAGCTTCGACGGTCAAGGTGAAACCACTCAAACAAAGATGTGAATGTTTTGTCGGAGATGAAAGAGAACGCCAGTAGGTAGGGGAAAAGTTCAACAACCTCCATTGATCGAGTGCAGCCCTGACGTAGCGCACAGTCGATATATAGTGTCTGTGGTTATATTTAAACCTTAATCATCTTCTGTTTGATGCTAAATTGGCGAAAATGGACAGTTTTTTACTTTAGAGGATGTAATGAGTTCAGTGTGGATTTTAATTTAACGAAGAAATGGACGGCACGCAACTCGAGTTTAGTTTGAGTACATGCATTGAGTACATTAATTGAGTACATGTATCAATACCGCTTGAGCAAAGTGATGGACTGTATATGTACTCCCCAAAATAAGTTAATCGTACAATCAACACCAGTTTTTGGCAAAGATTTCTTTTGAATATGGAAAGGGGTTTGTCGCTTTTATTTAAAGAACATCCGATTTATTTCATATGACAATGATTCATTTGTCAAGGTTGGTGGGGATTGCAACACACAGCCTTAAAAAGCTTCCAATTTGGGTGTTTCTTAACTTGTTTTCATTAGTATAACATCCATATATAAGTAAAATTAAAGTATTTATATTTGGTAATATGAATATTCTGCTTAAAAGGAGCTACGTTAATCATATTTATCAAAAAGAAAACATAGAGTTGTACTTAACATTAACATGTATGTATGTATGTAATTCGTGTTTGTATTCCTTCTATACATGTCAGCAACGATTAAGTTATATTTTTGTACGTGTACATGTCAAGGATGCTTTAAAAAGGTAGTAGTGCTCACCCACCTCACTACCCCCATATCCCATCACAGTCACTGACTGCTTTCATCACCTTGGTTCCGTATGCCTTTCATCATCAATAATTCTGAATTGTGTCACGGTATATGTACTTGGCTTATGAGCGTCGCGACTACAGAGCGGTTGCCTTTTCTGTCAACAAGATAGGCATCTTTTATGTTATTGTTTATGAGCAGTATACCCAAAATACACAAATAATAACAATGTTTGATTGTGCAGAACACAATAGAACAGAAGAACACAATAGTCAACTGCCTTGTAATTCTTCATAACAAATGCTATTTTAACAGTGTAAAGGTATTTTCATTGAAGGCACGATGTTTGTAGAATGTAGTCACTTCTAGAACAAAACAGATAGTTGTCATGTTATATTCCGTAGCTTCTGAATCAATCAACACTTTATGACAATGATATGATATGATACTTATGATACTTTTTTTATTGGCATCGTGTTCAGAATGTAATTATAAATAACAAGCCGTCATGTTCTTGTCGATGTAATTTATAAAGGAAATTTGCGATATTGTTTACAGTGACGAAGTGAAAGCAAGAAAACTAGTTCCATTATCATTAGAAATCTCTACTAAAAATCAGACTCCTTTGTACGATATCAAAAAAACACCACAAAGTGAGAAGTGATCTCTTGTATGAATCCTGCACTGACTGCTGTGCCTACGTCAGCGTCCATTATCGCGCCCGGTGTAATTCCCACTCTGATAAGAATTACAAGAACGCTTGTCACGTGACAAACAGTACTCCGTTCTTGGAAGCTATTGAAAGAAACAAGATGTCGGATTCATGTGTGATCTTGAATGAAATTAATAGGAAAGCCTATTTAAAAATGATCAAACTGTTCAAGAATGAATTTCGTATGTTTATGTTCCTGATCTAAAAAGATGTGCGATGTTTGTTTAGCAAATAGTTCCCGTTGTTTATATTGACAAGGACATAGGATGTATGATAAGATAAATAGAATTTATGTAAACTGTAGGAGGTTGTTACAATAACCTAGCTTCTATGTTGTCCCTGGACTGAAACCTTCTGCGAAGACAGACAAAACAAACAGGTCTTGTTGACAACCATTGATGTCAATTGTTTCAATAAATCATCACCATGTCGTTCCCAACAAGTGACAAGTTTTAAATTTAGACTGACATATTCTAAACGTTTTCTCCAGTAGTTGCTAATCTGTTGACTAGGGTATCTCCTTCAAGGATTAAAGATCCGGTAACCTGTTGCTAGCTAATACGCTCTGTAATATAAGTTAAGATGAAGATAAATAGGCTAATGGCCTTTTTAAATACGTTGTTTGTTTGGAGCAAACAGCAATAGCCCTTCACACGTGTTTTTTCAAGACAAAGGATGTCCCCCAGTCAATTCTAGAGGCAAGTCTCGTGTATCTTAGAGGGTAGGGCACCGTGTTCACGGTGTTTACAATGCAATTATTACAGGGATAAAACAAATATAACAACATAGTTTGCGTTGTACATGGAATATACTGATGGAAATTAATATGGGAACACTTAGTTTTAGACACAGCTATTTGAAATATACTTACAATAGAGTTTATGCCCCTACATTTGTCATTGTCTCCTTATTCGTTTCCATCAGTATATTAGTAATAGGATTTTTCTGGGTTGCAGGGTTGGTAATTTTCTTTGAAGGATATGTTTTGTTTACAAACCATTTGTGGAACCTAAACGAGCCTTCGTCGAATAGCTGCAATATTGCTGATGCAGAGTTGAACAATAATCACTCTCACGAACCTCGTAGATGGCCATGGCAAAATGGTTTAGTTGTGATTCAGATAATCTGAGATTCAACGCTCGTTTATCTAACCGTTGGCTGAAATCCACCATAAGTAGACACTATATCTGCCAAAGTGGATACAAACATCTGTTTGATCAATAGTGTCAATTTCTTGATTTCTACACTTACAGTTTTTCGTATATATGATACGTGCACACTACACTGTGGTACCCCATACATCGCATGTGTCGAAGTTATCCTAAGCAAGATAAACCATAACTGCTGTGTCGAAACTGTTATCTCAAACATCTCCTTTCTGCTCTGTCTTCGAGATAACGAGAGTGATGGCGTTCCTTTTCTTTCACTAAACAGTATATAGTCGTAATCGTAAAACGAGTCATTTCAAGTTGTTTAATTACAACTGTTCCGTTTCTTTCATCCAAAGTATATAGTGGTATACCAAACAATGGCTATTTCAAGTATGTTTAATTGCAACCGTTCCGTTTCTTTCTTCAATCAGTATATAGTCGTAATGACCACAATAGGTTTTTTCTAGCGGTCGAATTACAACAACCGCCCACTGGATTGTGGTATGAAATGTGTATTTGTTTGGGTGCATTGGTAATATCGTCAACACGACGTCAACCTAGTTTACACCGCGCCAGCTAACGAGGACGTCATTATCGACATCTGTAATACATGATGTAGCCGGGGTCAACAGAGATACATGCTGATCTAATTTAACGTAAAAAACAAAGTGTATTTTTCATGCTGATTCATAATTGCCTGTAAAAGTAGGTGATTACATTGTGACGATGTGAATACAGTAGCATTTGTCTATTGTTAGGATTACGCGAGGGAACGTGTGTACGAATCATTCATTACACCTGGCTATGTTGCATGATGCGGGAAGGTGTACTGGCGACATCGCATCGTGATGTAACGGCTCAGTCTCAATAGTTAATTACTTGAATCATACCTATGGTGATTATGATGATGATGAGGATGATGATGATGTTAATGGTGATGTTTTTATGTTGATAACATTGAAAACGATGATGGTAGTCATGTCAATACGTTTTCAGTTTTCTGATATTACAGATGATGATGATGATGATGATGATGAACATTGAAGACGATGATCGTAATTATCTTAATATTAGCGAGGAAGTTTAAAACTGATGAAAAGGTGTGATGAAAATTATAATGAAATTGTTACATGAGATTGATATGAACTTCAACACTAACGATACGAGAGAGGATCCTCTTGTATCAGAGAGGAAATGTAGAAATTGTGTTACCTAATAATAATGATGATGATCATAATGATACTATTGATGCTGATGGTGTTGGTTATGGTGATGATAATATGAATATACATTTTATGGTGATATACAATTATATACATGCATTTTGACTCAAGATACCAGTTCGGATATTACATCATCGTCATCATCATCATGATTAAAATATTGATTATCACGATTATGATATGGACATTGATGTCTTTGTAGATAACTCAACAACACATATATATGGACTCGTGACATTCATGTTGAGAGTGTCCCAGTGTGAGGTGCTGTGGTTTAACTTGGCTGAAAATTGAGACTGCAACAACCGATGACATTGACGACGATGTGTACTCACCTACATCGTTGATTTCGTTGATGTTGACTTTGAGCGATGCTCGCCTCAACATAGTACTGACAGCGTTCAGGTCATTCTCCTTTATGTTATCCAGAAACACCAACTCATCCGGGAATCGAACTTTGGGTTTGCACTTATTCTGTTTAGCTAACAAACTAGCCCTTCGACTCATTGTCCCTCTGAGACAACACACGGACAATGGCTATTTGGTCAGGCTAAACGCCTGTATTCTCCTCCTTAAGTCGATAGCCCTGCACACTGATGTATTTTCACCGATTTTCACCACACAGTAACACAATACCCGATTCCTGCAAAGAACGACATTGGCAGCACTGTTCTTTGTTTCGTCGTCACAAAGCGATCAGCTGATTCCTGCTTCGGAAACAAAATCGAAAGCGGCGATGGAATAACAGCAAGCGAGTTGCTTAATTAGCTAGTCTCTCCACAGCGCTCAGCTGAAGACTCCCGACTGCACTCGATCACAGTTGCTTCTGTAACAGCGAACGAGTACACTCACTCGGCATAAACACTCCGCGCTCAATGCGCGTATATCTTCAATTATGGATCTTTGTAAACACCACACACTCTCCAGCCACAAGGTTACGATGCGCTGGCCCCCTCCTGCAAAGCTGTCGGCCCCTTGGTGGTAAGATAGCTGGCCCGGACTATCACGGTTATCTTGTGGTATTCCTATCTCGCAGATGCCACCAAATACACAAACACGACTAACGCTACACTCTCCTAGTAGCACCGCCAAGCTGTTCTGTTACGCGTAGAACGGGAAACGATCACCGCGGAGCGTTCAACTTACTCCAAGTTAGCGAGCACTTCTCGGGGCGTGTGTCAACACTCACATCCTATGTAGCGCGGGAATGCTGCTTTTCACTCCGAGTCTTCTCAGTGCTGCAAGAAATCCAATACCTGGTTGTAAAACAAATCAGCCGTGACGCTACTTACAAGGATGCCTATTGGCTATGGTGCTTGTAATAATGAATTTGATTGGTCGCTTCAAGACTGTCTGAAGGTTTCTGTGACTATGTGTACCATATGGTCACAAAGCCTGCTAAAAGCTTTGACGGTTAATGCTAGAAACAGTGTGGCATATTACATTATTCATTGCAACACAAGCATCAATTATTTATATGTAACACAAATAAACATTAGCTAGTAGCAAAACTGATGCAATAAAAACACTAAATATACAGAATCTAAAAAAAAACATATATAAATCAAAATTTAATATTGTTAGTGAGTTTAAAAGAGTGTGAGTGAGTGAGTTTGATTTTACGCTGCTTTTAGCAATATTCCAATATTACTAAGGCTACCAGAAGAAGATCATGTTTTACTACAACTGAATAGTTTTATTTCTCGGATGGTATTACTTATCTATATCGCATTTAGGTTTCCATTCTAGCATCATGCGTGAGTGAGTATGGTTTTACGCCGCTTTTAGCAATATTCCAGCAATATCACGGCCGGGGACACCAGAAATGGGCTTCACACGTTGTACCCATGTCGGGAATCGAGCCTGTGTCTTCAGTGTGACGAGCGAACGCTTTAACCACTAGGCTACCCGACCGCCCGAGTTTTAAAGAGTAATGGCATGTCTAATATTATAAAGGCAGGCTCATTTGTGGTCCTATTTAATTCAGTTTCAATAACAGTTTCACTGATTTGTCTGTTTGGTTGTTTGCTGTTTAACGCCGCACTCTGCAATATCCTAGCTATATGACGGCGGTCTGTAATTAATCGAGTCTGGACCAGATAAACCAGTGATTGACATCCTGAGCATCGATCCACGTTGGGATACGATGACATGCATCAACAAGTCAGCGAGCCTCACCACCCGATTCCGTAGGTCGCCTCTTACCACAAGCATAGTCGCCTTTTACGGCAAGCATGGGTTGCTGAAGACCTATTCTACCCCGGATCTTCATGGGTCACTAACTGTTAATGTTATCATTGGAATGGGGGCGGTCGGGTAGCCTAGTGGTTAAAGCGTTCGCTCGTCACGCCGAAGACCCGGGTTCGATTCCCGACATGGGTACAATGTGTGAAGCCCATTTCTGGTGTCCCCCGCCGTGATATTGCTGGAATATTGCTAAAAGCGGCGTAAAACCATACTCACTCACTCACTCACTCACTCACTATCATTGGAATGAATGCATTGAGTTTTACGCCGTTCAAACCACTATTCGAGCATCAACACGAAGAGGACCATTTCGATTGGGATTTCCACCTATGTGGGAAGCAAACAGGCTCTCAAAGGCGACCAACTAACGCTATAACCACTTGACTACACAACCGCGCTATATATTATTATAATCCATTTTATATGGTATATAGTACCTAATACAACAATATACAAATAATACATAACAAAAGAAAAAGTATACTTTGTAAAACCGCGGGAGTGAGGTGAACTGTACGCCGCTTTAGCAATATTCCTGCTCTAAAGTGAGTGAGTGAGTAATGGTTTTACGCCGCTTTTAGCAATATTCCAGCAATATCACGGCGGGGGACACCAGAAATGGGCTTCACACATTGAGCCCATGTCGGGAATCGAACCCGGGTCTTCGGCGTGACGAGCGAACGTTTTAACCACTAGGCTACCCGACCGCCCTCCAGCTCTAAAAACCAGGCGGGGAGCTGCATGAATGTGGGGAATCTGGTGTGACAGTGAACCACAAAAGAACCATCTCCCCGCATCGGTGATAACATTGATGGTACTGTGTGTATCTACCTCTGCAGATCATCGTATGTATGAATGACCAGTCTCGTCATCATCACATCTAAAGGAGTGCGAATGTTAACCACCCCAGCATCTGTATCAATAATTGGCCGTATTATAGCGCGGATATCGGCGACTTCCTGTCATTATGACGCCCATAACGGTCACGAGGGCCATGCTAAGTGCGAGAAACAGTGACGCTGTTTGTTTATCACCTTATGTTTATAACTGTAAATCATGACGCAGGAAGGATGGTTCTGTTCATACCATCCTCTGTCTAAAATAGTTTATTTAAATACACCAGTCACGATACATGTGACCAAGTCACGAAATATGTTATACAGGGTTTAGCAAACTGATTTACTAGTATTTCATAAGGGTTGGTTGGTTTGTTGTTTAACGCCGCACTCAGCAATATTCCAGCTATATGACGGCGGTCTGTAAATAATCGAGTCTGGACCACACAATCCAGTGATTGATATCATGAGCATCGATCCACGCAATTGGGATCGATGACATGTATCAACCAAGTCAGCGAGCCTGACCACCCGATCCCGTTAGTCGCCTTTTACGACAAGTATAGTCACCTTTTACGGCAAGCATGGGTTGCTGAAGACCTATTCTACCCCGGATCTTCACGGGTCATTTCATAAGGGAACTGAGACAGACGATTGACAAGATATTGGGTGATATTGGGTCCTTAATGTATTATATCTTTCAATAATACATACTGCTCGTCTTGATGTACTTTGTACTTATTTATTGGTAGCAATAAGCGGCAGTTGCCCGTAGGTAATTAAAGTGTTGGTACAAATATGTAAATATATTTGATCACTAGCTATATCACACAATTAGCAGACATGGTAATCTACACATCATACGTGTTTCCCATTCTCTGAGTGAGTGAGTGAGTTGGGTTTAACGTCGCTTTTAACAGTATTCCAGTCATATCACGACGTGTCAGCTTAATGTGGGAGGAAAGCCCGAAGTGATGTAGGTCTTAGACGTTTACCACTTCGGTGAAACCCGCGAGCATGGGTATGGTGCTGACAAACCTAGAAACATAATCGGGGCGAACCGGGATTCGAACCCACAATCATAGGTTTCTGGCGTGCCCAAGGGGCGCAACTCTGCACAGCGAATCGCGGCGCCTTAGACGACTGCCCCAACACTACCTGCCCCCACACCCCCACCCCTTCTGTGAATCTTGCCTTTAAATGTACTTTGAAACAAAGAAGGGAAATACATACATTCTGTCTACTATTCCTTCAAATTTTGATATCTAACCCTAGATCTTGTGTGTTCATATATGATGTTTATGCAATAATAAAATTATACTCGGTTTTTTTCTGGTAATATTTTTTCGATTTCATTTATCTGTAAATGCACATTGACTCGCATGAAGGTCTCCAGTGGGTTGCCCAATCAAGTTTGATTAGTTCGTTTACGTCATAAACGTAAGAGTGTGAATAACCAGGCATGACTCCTATATTTGTAACGTTGTTATTTTAAAAAATATTACCGATAAATAATTTGATGTCACACATTCAGTTTGGTCAGATTAAAGTGTACACCAGTTTTAAAGATGACAAAATGCCAGTTTATATACATTTAAAACAAGGAAAGTGTGTTTCATAAGATCTTAATCAATCTCCATTTCCCTGGGTGATGTGCATGACAAAGAGGGGAATCTGACGTTTCCTCGACAACGTGATTCATCATCACCATGCTACGACTTCAAACACGTTACCCCCATGCACGTTAGCATGGACACCAACCTGAAGTTACAATCAGTGTGATCGATCCTCGGACAAAACAAGGTTGTATAGAGGTATTCAGCGTTAAAAGTCTGATGTGCAACCATTCTATTATATACAGCCTCAAAGACCTATTGTGTATAAACATTTACAGAATAATCTTTTTTAATATATTCGATTGTACCGCAGCAGTGACACGAGAGACTGAAAAACACAACAATATACGCATCACCATCCTTAGAAGGGGTGTTTTACGACACATACCGTGACGACAGGTTATGTCAGCACCATGTGCATGAATTGCAATGCATCAGCTGCACATTTAAACGTACGTACATTACAAAGGAAACATATAATATTAACCTTTTACCTGGAACACGAATGGCTTAACATCGTCAGTGTTTTTGTCCTCTAGTGTCGCGCCCTTTTGTTTGCCACGTCAAGCATGGCATGCCTGAAGTAATGTAGGCGATAACACAGGCATGTGGCTTACTCCAATTGAAGTGTAATCTACCTGTTCAGTCGACACAATGACTTCTCACACAACAAACAATGCAGAAAGGTTAGTACACAAATATCGTATGTGATTTGTTCGGGAATACGTCGGATCTCATCACACGTTCCCTGTAAATGGATGGCCAAACAGAGTTACAATATGCCCTTCATAGGAACAGTGTACGTGTTATATTAACCGTTTCCATGTCAGCTTCAAAGTCTGCGGTTAGCGAACCTTGAATCTGATACAATATGTTCTTGTTGACTTAGACCATACAATAGAGGCTCCTGAACTGGCTACACACCTTTATAGACTCGTGGATGCTTTGTTGTTGTTTCTCCAGTTGTGATGGAGTATTTAGGAAGTGTTTACTAGACTCCTTACAGTCGTTATGCATCAACTGTAGGGAAAGTACAACGGGAGTTTACTGATTGACTTGCTAGTCTTTTTAATGTTGTTTGTTACATACTGATGTGAACTTGACACATCCCTTGTAAAGGACTTCCAGTACATTAGCGTTGTTAAACCTCTGTTTCCCCGATGTCTGCTGACCTAGTTCAACCTTAGGACAGAACTTAACTGCCTTTGGCTGGTAGTATCATATATAAATTTAAATAAATCTTAACTGTATTATTCGAATAAAATATGTCTTACTCACAGGCGTTCATTTGGGACTTTTCCGACTTTTTACTATTTCCATTTCTTTCATTATAATGATTAAGTAGACATAATACGGGTTTTCATTATTTTTTATAGTTCGCGGAAATACTGACATTAACGTACTTTTTAGACACTTAGGTTTCATAATGTCCAAGGTTTTATCAATAAAGTTAGTGATCTATTTAATCTTTCAGCTGATTAGCATGCATTTAGTCCCAGAAATATAGTTATCATATTTAAAAATATTTATCTGCAAAAT